ATAGTTGCTAAACGACCTTTATATTAATAAAGAGTGTTACAAATATTTGTACTTTTAAGACAAACTGGTATTGTATATTATAATGCCTTGTGTTTGCCAGTGGTCCAGACAGTTTGGAGTGATCAGCTTTCGGTTCGACAGTTCCTACACATACCAAACAGAAAAGTCTAAAAAAAGAGTGTTACAAAACTGTGTACCTTTGAAAATTAGAGAACACCCACATACAATACCTGCACATTTAGGACCGTGTCTTATTCTACTCTTTAAGGGTTGTTTTTGTAAATATACGGAAACACATATTTATATACCAGCTTCTTTATCTCCTTTCACAATATTGTTCTATTTTCAAACATTGTAAACGGACATTTTGTCACGTGAAGACTCGCTATATTTCTCAATAACGTGACAGAACTATAAAGTCCACCCAAAAAATCACATTTTTTCACGCCAATTGTTACAGTCTTGGTGCAAACTTTATGGTTAAACATTTTCTGGCTATCTGAGGATATCCTTTTTTACATTTATGCCAGTGGTTCACGGTTCCATTGAATTGTTTTGATAAACTTAATGTTTTGTCAGTTCTTTACTAGATTATGAGACTAACACGTGGTTATCTTTATATCCTTATCTATATAAAAGTGATATTTTCGTGGTGGAAACATATAACTTTATGCATTGAACCTGAAAATACTATCGTCAACGGAATTTCTACTGTCAACGTTTGATTTTCGACTTTCTACTTCAGACTTTCTATTCAAGATATTATACCGCTGATTCTTCTGAAATACAATTCCTTTTACCAACTGGCATATTAGAAACAATAGAATCTGCCGAGACAGAGGTAGTTCCGACCTATTCCTTTTCCAATTAACTTGAAAGGGATATTCTAATACATATCACTTACTCCGGCTTTTTGCCCCCACCCCACTCACACGCAGGACTGCTCAGATTTAACTTTTCAGCTCAAAGGATACGCCTAGACACATATCTTACCCCATAACCTATACTCCAGCCTTATGAATCATTGCACAGTGAATAATTCATATGATATTAAAAATCTCGGGTTGGTTACACCCAAATTATGATGTCTAATAACAATTACTGGAAATGACGAACGAAGAAAGAAGATAAAACAAAGAATAGGCTATGAATGTTTCATATTTTTAAGAAAATCGCTCTTTGGTTTTGTTTTGTTTTCTCAATAAATCAATGAGTTAAGTTTGTTGTTGATTATATATTCTTCAAACTAATTGATGAAAGCGATCAGCGAGTTCTTTCGTTTTGCGGTTCCGGATCCGATAGGCAATTTGTTTGATCCATTTTACTTTTAATGGTTTTCATCGATTAGACAAACAAGGTCCAGATTTTTTCTCCATCCATGTGTAGTATTTTTGTCACTCATCTGTGATAATGTATTAAAAACATTGTCAGGTCTCATTTACCGTGAAATATCGAATTTTCTTCGTTTCTTTTTAATCGAAATAATAAAGCATATTGATTTAGAAGCGTACACTGTCAATATAGCGTCATATCCGTCACATGTTTTGAGAAAAAACATAATTTGTATCGGGATTTTGATCTAAATGAATCTAAAAACGCAATCAAACCGAATATAAAGATATCCGTTTTTAAGTTTAAGGGAAAGCGATCGATATAATTCATTTTTTCGTAAGTTTATATAATAATTAATTTGGCTATATTGAGCTTGAAACACCGATGTTTGGATAAAATGTGTTGCGCTTCGTAGATAATAAAATAAATTTTGTTATGAATAAATTTCCTCATTACTTTCATATTGAAAATATAAAATGTTGACCCCAAAACTCCTGGAAGTTTAGTAATTACCACAAATCTAGTAATAAACGGTAATGTTATTCCAGAGAATTTCGTGAAGTGTATATCAAGTACAAGAAAAATAAATGCCACTGAAATAATATTTTCATTCATAAAATTGGTCATGTCACTCATGTACATAGTGACGTTTTTTTTTTAATTATTCGAAGATGGTTACCAACCAACTGACAAAAAATAGAGTCTGTCTAATATATATTTAATAATACCACATGTGACCATTAGACACTGATGGTCATTTTCTTCATATAAACCATATTATTGGAAAAATGACATACGATAAAGAATTAATGAAATAATGTGTGTCACTATTTTTTATTTCATGGTGAGTTTACAAATATAAGTGTCCTCTGTCAAAATAACAAAGCCTCAAGTATCTATTTTTTTTATATTAATGATGATTTAATGCCGGCAAGTGTCTGGCAATAGAACAAAAAGTACACGCGGTTTTCCTTCATTGTCTTTCCAAGTGGACATTGTATTAACAAAAGAAAGAAGCTGGATACGGGATTAAAAAGCTATTAAATAGTTTCACAAAGCTACTTGAGATAATCTAAATTTAATGTAACGTCAACACAATACTTTGGTCACTTTGCTTTGGGACTAGCAACGTGTGCAATGCTAGGTAAGAGAATTTTGCCCGGACAGCGGCGTTTCGGCCCACACTTCTTCGATCAACAAATATCAAGGATTCTTTTACATGTACACCAATCGCAATTATACACAATTTCCTCGTCGCCGACAAGCGCCATTCCTGACGAATATGGAGGCCGCGTTTCCACTCGGCCAACGCTGGATTCCAACTCGGGACATCTTAGTCGAGAGTTGAGTATCCTCCCATCTCGACTAGCACGGCCTTATAATCCAAATGGTTTTTTTTACCTTTTGTGTGTAAGAAAATTCTTCACTGGTTTCATTCATCTGTAACTATCGCTCATGAAAATGAAAGAAGAACGAATAGGATGGTACAGTGTATAATCGACACTGGTCAATTATTTTATTAGCGTATTCAACGCTAAGATTGGATTTAAAGGTTGGATTCAATATTGCACTGATATTAACGCTATCGATAGAATCGCAACTGCGTCATACTTCCAAGGCTAACATAAATGATTTCAATTCGATTATTAAAAAGTAGGTAAAATTCCGACCAGTTTCCGGTCGATGCAATTGTTTAATTCGATATCCGTATTCAAAATACAGATAGGATTTGCTAGCTATGCGAATAATGAAGTCTTGTGATGACACATTGTCTCGAACCGGATGTTTTTAAGGGCAAAGGGGTCACTCGTCACGGATAACTTCCAAAATGACCACATCATGGGAAAGGGTTTGGACTGCAGCATGTAAACGGCCACCCATGGACTTTGCTTTTATATTTAAAGAGGGTATTTCCCAGCCTCCACACGATGTTTGTATACAAAATAGAATCCACCAAGCTCTATGTTTATCCTGGATAGTCACGTCTATAGACAAACTTTCCCAGTCGTTGACAGGTTGTTTAGAAAATACACCCATTAATCATATTAAAATTTATTGAAAGGACTAAATGGCTGCTAATGTCTGAGATATATGTGTGTGGACTCGGATTTGAACCCCATTACCTATTGAAGAAGATTACCGGTTTGCGGGAAGGAGTTAACAGTTCGGACGTTATCATTTGTTTTGTCCATGAAATTCTTTGACAATTTAAACAAATTTATTTTTGAGTTTATTATAATTAAACCATTAATGTCGATATCATTACACAACACGAAAATGATAATATAAATCAAACATATTGAATTCTAACTAGTGGTCAATACAAATCCAGTGGACGAATTTGGCAAAAACGAGTAACGACAGCAAGTGTACCCGCCACAGGAGAAAGTTATCATAATGAAATGCAACCATTTTGAAAAAAAAACCAGGTGAGCTTACTATGTGTCGCCGTAGTCGTCCAAAAGAACAACAATGTTAGCTTAACAGTACACGCATGCATGTAATGGTAAGCCTAACCTGCCTCTTACTTGACACCCGCCCCGCGATTACTTATAACTGAATGGGGCCGAATTAAATATAAAATGTGCCTAATTCTCTTTGGTTCAGGACAATGATTCAGGTCAAAATAAATTGTCAAATTATCCTTATCTGATTTGTTATTTAGGTAACCTGATGGATAAGTTCAGTAAAATTACATTTCCGTTTTCGGAAAATTTGTTAATTAACTTTAGTTTCATTTTTTTTTTCAATTATAAGTTTCGATTATATAATAAACTCAGGTTTTTGAACATTTCTGATGACTATTATTATAGTTTCGCAGCAAAACTGCAAAACCAATCGTTCTATACAATATTAATATGATCCATTCAACAGACATCGAATGTCGGGTCATGACCTAAGATTCCTAGAGATCCGCTTGATTGTGACAAGGAATATCGGAACAAAATGTAAAATACGTTTTAACTAACTATCTCATCTATCAAGAAACGTTCTATCGTAATCATTATATCCATATCAAACTTTTGTCAAATGTTAGCCATTTTTCAAAATGCCGGCTTTTGATGTCTAGTCTGAACCATTTACCATGAAATTATTTTATGAAATGCCAGTCGTCCGGGGAAAACGAAAGAAAACTTTAGAAACAGTTACATAAATATTAGTTAGTAATTTGTTCCACGGTGTGCTCGCCAGTGGAAATTCAATATTTGAATTCAGGAATTTGCGTCTGAACCAATAAAACATTACGTAACATTATATCCGCGAGATGCTCTTTATATTTGGAAATCATTCTACGTTTCCTAGTTAATGCGAAAATATGGCGACCCCAGGCCCAACTGTACTAAAACGTAATTGATTCCATATGGAACATGTAGCTTCATTGTTGTTAAACTTTACACGTTCGTCCCCTCTGTGAAGAGAAAATTGGCTAACAGGACCCCCTCTCGAGGAAGTCAAGCTGTTATCTATTTTTGGCGCCATATTACTAAAAATCTACTGCTCAATACACCGTAGCTGGAGATGATATTTTTTCACGTGCCGAAACTCCACTAACATGTAGAGCGAGCGAGAATGAGCCCCTTCGAACAGCCTTGTAGCACGCGACTGGTTTGATTGACAAACTGCCAATTCAATTCAACAGTTGCTCTATACGTTCACTGCGAGCGCTAGCACGTGATATTACCGAGCTTTCGTTCCGTTTAGGAGTAACAGTAAACTTTGTATTTTGTTTTTCTTCTTGCAGACGCCAACTTCAGGCGAACTCGGGCAGACGAAGTAAAGAATGGATAACAAAAGCCAAGGAAAAAATTGTTTTATCTGGAATACGAATTACTCGAGTGGTGTAAATTGTGTCTTTATTGTCAAGTGATCGACTTAGGTGATTTTAGGATAATTCAAATCAAGCAGACGACATAAAGTTATGGCGGGAATTGTGACACAGAAAACCAAGTTAAATTCCTTTTGGTCTATATGCTACTGTTTTCTAACTTTAGGAGTTCATATTTACACGACGTACCTGTGTGTTCTGAGGTACCGGGATGCCGAGGCAAGAGCCTGGCCCAAGAATGAGGGGAAACCCCCCGAAGTTGCATTTTTGTTGTCTATGATTATTATATCCGTATTATTATTGCCTTTCTATATTACTGCGGCATTTGTCAGAATTGGAAATATTGCTAACGATGGCATCAAGTTGGGTAGAGACCACGCTTTAAATTCTAATTTTAAATCTGTTTGTAAAAGTGCGGATCATGGATTAATTAAACGAATTTGGCAACATTTCTGTCCTGTGGCTCAAACTTTACATCTTGTTTCCGCATTTTGTTTGGTTTTACCAGAAACATTACTGACTGCTGTCGAAATATTAAATGGATATCGTTCAACAGGTAAGATAACTTTTAATTTCGTTTTATAATTATTTTAAAAAAGCATGGCAGGGCAGTGCAAAACTTTTTATACGGGGTCATCGTCTCCCGAAATATGATAAATTCCACAGTCAGACACTTGTTGTGTTAGGGTTGACAGTTCAAAGAAATGAATGTAAAAAGGAGTGGTGGCAGATTTGAATTTATTATTATTTCACTTTTCACCCAGTTCATTGAATTGGACTTCAATCTCAATCTATTTCGTTTCGTTTTGTTTTACGGTATTGTGATTTAATGTACTATATTGATTTTTAACGCATGAACCGATTCTGTTAACAATGCAGGACAACACAAAACGTAGGTAAAACAAACGATATCGATGAACGCATCACATATAGCACAGTTCATACATATATATATATATATATATATACCTAATAGAAGATATAAAATTGAAACATGCATAATATCCGAACAAGCAGCAAGGACCCAAGGGACGAAGTGCGGCGATGTAGAACCGAGGCAATATGTAAAATGTGCATTCTACATAACTGTAATACACCCAACAGTACATTATTCATTCTTACTTTAAACTCTAGTGAATTGGATCGCTTGACAACCATTGAAGAGAAAACATTGATATATTGAAACACGTGGTCTTAACCGTACTGTAGTAATAGTAAGTGCAGGAGGACCGCACTACACGCAAAGCAAAACCTACAAGATAAACCTTCGGACAAGACAGTATTTTAACATAGATTTAGTAATTCAGACGTTTTATTTTATTATTATCCCCATTATTACTTTTACAGAGTTAACTTGTATTTTAAAGAAATAAGTACAGGGATTTTTGGTTCATTTCATCACTAGTATATGATTATCATATAGTCAGCTTGTGTAAATATTTAAATTATGACATGCTCAACTCCTGCGAAATACACAGCATCGTGTTCAAACATTGTACAACTTAACACATTCATTTGAACGTCGCGCACTTTCATTTGATCGTCTTTAATTTGAACATTACGTTCACGTTACCACCCACTTTTATTTGGTCGCTTATATATTCATTTGAAAAGTTACATTAGTATTGTATAGCCTACGTCCATTTAAACTTTTACGATAAACGTATTAAACAATTGGCCAATGGAACATCTAATGGAGGACAATCTGATAATTATGAATACTCATAACCTTAGAGACACCGAGTAAAAGTTTTTGAGAGTGAACTCGCTTTAATTTTAAATGTTTGTGGTAAACCTTCTCATGTACACCAAAATCACTAGGTTTAGTGTAAAATTGATCCCATTATCCACACAATCAACTGTAGTTCTATAATCATAGTTAATGCTCGTATCGTTGGTAGTCTGTCTCGTTCTTCTGTGGCAATGAAGTCGGCGGTCCAGCAGAAATAGCCTACTTTATTTGTGTTTTTTAATCAAATTTAATCCGGAAACCAAATCACTATAACAGAGTATTTTCTCGTTATACGTTAAGTCTGATTAAACCACGTGACCAAAGATCTATAATTATTTAGTGATCCGAGAACAGTGTTAAAACGTATGTTGTCATGCAAATATTGGTGATGAGCAAGATCACGAAACAAAAGCCACTGATAAAATGGTATACTTATATGAATAAGAAGATATTAATGTTTTTGTGCAATAAAACATGATAAAGTGACAATAGTTTGTCATCGTGTTTTAGATCCTACGTTGCTCTCTCTCCATAAGTTTTTTCCTGCATTGTCTATTAGACAGATTGTGAGATGTTTGGGTTTACCATTCATGCAATGTCATAAATTGTGTGTTGATGAAATCAAATCGCCCGAGGTCCAGAATTACTCGGTTAAGTTATTTTGCTGCATGTGTTGGCGTAAAGATTAGTTAGATAATTCCTATGAAAGAAAATGTTACAAACAGATGAGCACCTTTATCTCTGTTGTTTCTCAACACTAACAGTCTATAAATCTGTCATTCGCTATCCCTTGTTTGTTGTTCTTAGTACTCTACGGTGGGCTATCTTCGGGTGTACTTTTTGTACACATCGTACTTAAAGCTTCTATAAATCAACGTTACGATTGCAGTACGCGGCACAAAGAAGACTTTAATTTTCGAGAAGACTTATAAGGTGGTGCCTTTATGTGCTTATGTAGTACTTCAGGGCTTTGCGTTCAGAAAATAGGTGACAGGGCACGATATTTATGCCATTGAAGTGCACAAAGGAATCGTATATATGTCTATTTTATTAGTAATTGTCAGTGTGTTTGTCTCGTCATACACTTTTATCTGCAGAGTTCATCACAATTAAATGATAGTAGAAGTAGTAGTAATGATATCGCATACAATTAATATGTGTTCAACTCATTGAGAACACAAAACAGAGAAGCATTTATTCATCGGTTAATTTCTTTTACTTTTTAAATAAACTAATATTTTTATTTATGATTTAGAGCATAAAGACTTTGTAGTCAGGGTGCTTTTTACGTACTAGAAACTTAAAGGTTCGCTGACATAACACCTTTTTGCAGGTTTAAGGTCAACGGTTTTTAAGACTTTTTAATTTCATATTCACAGTAAAGAACCGGATCAATAATCACATAAAGTTGTCAGGTTATTAAATTGAAATTCAATTTCACAGATCGTTAAAGTCTGTAAGTGGCCATTTTACTGTGAATTACACTTGAGTTCATTTCAATAATTCAGTATAGATGCCGTGTCATTATATACACAAATACTATTTTATTATCTATATCCATGTGGGTAGAAAAAAAACTAGACCTAATTATAAGACCCCAAAGCTCTTTCATTTATCAAGGAAAAGGGTAATAAAATTATAAATCGTTAGCTCAAATTTCTTTAAATTACCCCTGTCTTAATTTGAATGGTACAACGTAATGAAGTCAGACAAATTCTGACAAACCGTTTCACATTCCTGTGTTTGTAAAGAACACCAGAACTCAAATCTCAAAATGATTTAATTGTCATAACATTAGTTACCGAACAACACTACATCAATACAGGATGGAAATGGTTTAGATTTTCAATAGCTGCTGATTTATGAAAATTAGTCCCGAGGCTAATTGGAGCCGCGGGGATTCAGTAAGTAAGGGGCTGGCTCACCAACTATGAGATCTGTAGTTCAGTCCCGGTGTTGGTCGAGAAAGTTCACCGGAATTTTCCAGTGTGGCTTCCCCTTGTCAGTGGTGCAGGTATGACACGGAACATTGTCTAGTCGTTCAGATGGCACGAAAAAACCGAGGTCCCGTGTGTCCCATAGCCTGTACATAAAAGAATCTTTCAGAGCTGGATTTCAATTGCTGTCCAGGCAAAATTTATCCCATAGCACACTGCACCGCGTATACCCGTCTTCATAATCCCGGTCAGTGAAAAACATAAGGACGTTAAACCCCATCATTAATTCCGGGTGCTGATTTTATAGGCGAATGGGTTACGGTTTCTTTTAATTTAGGACCAAACTATCGACCCTTTCCATTTACCTTTGAGTTACCATTGAAATTATAAATACTCTTCGTTGTAAATTTCGTGACTCACACTTTTGCTCTATAAAAATACCTTATCTATATCAGGCGTAAGATTGCATTACTATTTGTAAAATTCGTAACTTCAAGGACGATCAGATAACCTTTCGTCTAATAACAGAGAAGAAAGGAAAGCTAGAGGAATCAAGTCAAATATTAACGACGGATGTCACATTGCGATTCGTATTTGTATTATGTAACATGTGAGCCGCGTTAAGGAACCCCGCGTTCATTGTTTAATCTACACCGGAATGACAGACATAACTCAAATTATTCCAAACAAAAGAGCCGCTGTTTCGTACTTCCTCTCATATGGAAGGTGTGCACATTTTTCAGGCGACTGATTTTGAATTTATTTATCGACTATCGTTCATTTACACTGATGTGTGAAAATGCATCAAAATTTCAAATATAAAAAAACCGGAAGATAAGATCGCTGGTGTACAAGTTACGCGGAAGCAATCTCTAATAATCATTTTATGGATGGCTATACTTTTAAAGCTAGTAATTGATTTGGCCTCGCTAGATGTATTTTAGTTCACTGATAGGCTTGCTGATTATTATTGAATTTATTGAATTCAAGGCAGTACATATTCCACTCAAACTGTAGAAGTTAATCTCCTTTTTGGTACTGATACATCTTCACCCGACAACGACATTAACGAGGGGGTTGGTAAAGTTACCCACCTTCCCATTCCTCACTCTCCCACCCCGTGACTAGTACCGACACGATCTGAATAAATATCAGCCCAATCTAGAATGGACTATTGTAACCCATCTTAATGATGCTGCTTACTTAATACCAGTGTATGCAATGGAAGCATTTATACTCAAAATAACTAACCTAACAGGTTGCGGTTCTATTTATAAACGTCTACCATTTTTGATAAGATACCAAAATAAACCCGGCTGGTTTTATAACCAATACCGTCTAATATTAATATGGCTACGAATCCGTCGTGTCAATTGCTGGGAATACCAATTATTAATAATTCTTTAAAATTTAAGTCCAGTGTCAACTTTCGTAACGCCAGAAACGTCAAATATTTATTGTGTGGCCAAAAACTGACAACGCATAGGTGCCAATTCTCATTCGACGAGTTTATATAGTTAATATTTTTTGTTAAAACATATTCTTTAATAAAGACCCTATTTTATTTTTTTTTTACTTATTCATTACTTTGTTGTTAATCTTTAAAATATAAAAGCTAAACAAGGTCTTATTTTAATTAGATTTTTACAAACAGATGTTCTAGAATTAGCAATTCTATTAGATATTATTTGATATATGCATACTTTAAGGTGTACAGCTGTAATACGATTATTCATCATCGTACCGTTAAACATTCACATTGTGAAGCGATGGCATTATGTGCATTGGCGTTTGATTCAGGTCGCCACTCTTAAAGGATAGCTTTACAAATCCTTGCAGAAATCTGCAATAAAACTTCCCGGCTAGTTCTGACATTTCTTCCATATC